ATACATTTAATGTTTACATTTTTTTAAAATTTTTATTATGCTATATTTCTTGTTCAAAAGGTCTAAAATATGTTTCAATTTAATAAGTATATAAATACAATATTTTTTCTTTAAATTTAATACATTTTTTAAAAAACAATTATATAAGCATTGTTTGTACATAAGGCATATATATACAATATATAGGATATATATATGTTTATAAACTATAACTATTTAACTTAGTATACAGCATATATAAAATATAGTTTATTTGTACCATATAGCATATATATATACATATATCCAAAAATGTAATATATATTTTTTGCAATATATTTAGTTTACATCATATGTGTAATTTATTTAATATATAGCATTTATATATGTAATATACTTAGTATCTATATTATAATAAAAAATATAGTGTGTGTTGTGTGTATGGATCCACTGGCCGACTATGGTGGTGGTTTTGAGTATGGATTGTTGCCTAATTTAGTTTGAGATTGACATAAAAAGGGCACAGTGGAAAGGAGATCCTGCATCAACTCGAACAACAGTTTCACAAGAATGTGATTGAATTTGCAGGTCCAGATGTGGAACAATAAGCACTTCTTAAAAAGTGAACTAACTTCATCAACTTCATTTAACACGTTTGTTTGTTTTAGATTTGTCTCACCCCCGATGGTCGTGAGGCTATTTGAAGACCTGGTGCCCCAAAGGCGCAATTTGACAATGCAGTCGTGTTTGTTCGTCATTCTCACTTTTCCAGATCCTTCTGGTTGCCATGTCGAAAACAGAAAGGAATGAATAGAAGTAGCAAAACGCTTTGCGTTATTTGTGTTGTTTCTGTTTCCCTTTCAGCCCCGTTACCTCGTGGAAATCCCTGTTCCGATTGGTTTCTTGCTGTCTCTTCCAAGCTTCACATCTTCTCTCAGGAGCACAATCTTTGCTGGTCGAAATGTTTCAGAAGAGTTTGGAAACCTTTCGCAGCAACCTTGGACAAGGGTTTCTTGGTACAGCAGATAGCATTAGGATAGAGAGCAAGTGCTCCAAAATCAGAGGAGCAGACTGTCTAGGAAAGCAGGAAAGCACAAGGTAGATGAAAGGATCTCGAACCTGGATATCCGTCTCATTTCCATGGCTTTGGCTGGTTTTGACATGTTGGAAATTGTTGGAACACATGTTTGATAATTTTTAATGATATGATTGTGGAATAGATATCGCATGGGCGCACAAAAGGAGATCCAAGTCTGAAGGATTGATCCTCAAGCATCACCGCTTCAATCCTCAGACTTGAAAACTGAGGCGACGTTGTGGATAAAGGCCGAAAGCCGGAGACGTGACACGTTGGAGCAGAACTGATCTTGAAGGATAATTATCAATGTGGCTCCAAGATGATCAAAGGCTCAACTTTTGGAACACCATTCGATCTGAAACAAATTGACGGCAAAAGACAACGGCACAGAGCTTGCATCAATTATACCCAGGTAGTAAACTTTACATATATATATATACACACACTATATATATATATATATTTATGTATATGTATATATATATATGTGTATATGTATATATATATATGTATATGTATATATATATATATATTTGATTGCAGATCGTCACTGCGCAGAGAGGAATATTGCGGAATATTCAGATGCACTGACTGGTTGCATCTCGTTCGATTTCCAGGTCCAGTGCGTCAATGTATACACGCAGCCGAATCAGCAGGGAGACCAAAACCCTACAGGGAAAAAAGTGATCATTCCTGCCAGTCGTGCCGGACTCCCGAGAGAGGTGATCTTTGGGATCCTTTGGGGATTTGCGGTTTGGGGATTATAGTTCTCAGCAAGCCCATCAGGTTTGGTGTTTTCGTCCGAAGCACTCAAATCTTTCGCTGGAAGGATTCAGGTTTTGTCGCTAGAGTCCCGGAATTTCCGCGACCCTGCCAAGCCTTGCAAAAAACGGATGTATTTCATGATATCTAATGGGCTTGCACCACACAAAAATACAGTAACATGCTGTAAAAGCGGTGCATATGGTGTTCCGTAAAATTTTGGCCGACATTGTGATAAACAGCCGTCATTCGCTGTGTGACCAAGGTCAGCGTTCCATGGTTTCATCTTCACACGATTTGTGCGCTCGGCGGAACTCATTTTGGGAATCTGGAATGAAAGCACAAACCTGCATTCTGCAAAGCTGATCACGCTGTGGCAACGTGCTGTGGCAACGTGGGAACTGTCCACTTTAAGTGCTCCAAAAGCAAATAAGCTTTGCTTTGTAAACCCTAAGATGTCAACTGTAGACTTCCGATCAAGCGGCAGCTTTTGCTCTCATCAAAGGCAATAAAGGCGAAGGTGGAAAGATATCTCATTGCCTTGTGGATTTTTCCCGAACGCGTAGCAAGGGTTCCCGTTTCACTCTGGGGGGTCTGGGGGTTGAGGCTGTGTTCAACCGTCCGCAACCGTTCGCAAATGTCCGTGTGAGGGTCGTATGGCCGTGCCTGTGGCCAGTTCTGCAAAAGTGATCACTTTTGGAGGTTTCAAACGTCTCGTAGCTTCGTTTCGCCTGGCAGGCCTGGCACTTCGTGACATTCAGACTTGTTTCGTAACGTGTCGAAGTCGTTTTGTGTGGCAGGCGCAATACTTTTGCGACGTTTTTAGAAGATGCGTTCCAGTTTTAGTGGCAGGCGCAGCACTTTGGAGACCTCCATCGTCATTTGGCATGGCAGGCACAGCACTTTAGACGTGTCATGTTGCGTGTTTTTTGCGAATCTTATTGTCAGGGCTGCGTCAAGTGGCGACAAGGTGCAAATTGCGTGGCAGGCGTGGCATTTTGTGAGATGTGCTGAAAATTGACGGAAGCCTCGCACAAAACATCGATTTTGAGGTAGCAAATTTTGTTCATAAGAAAACTCGAAGGAAAACGTCGATTTTGAAGCTACAAAGTGTAAAAATTGGAGAAAGTCTCGCACGAAATGCTTGTATTGAGGCTCCAGCATGTATCGTCTCGATTCTCTGGTTTGCTTCTGCCGTCGCGTGTCTATGGGGGAAGCTGCAAAACCTCTCCTTTTCGAAGGTATCAAAGCAGGTTGTAATGTCGTTTTGCGTTGCAGGCGTGGCACTTCCTGACATTTTCACGTGTCTGCAAACGTGTGGAAAATAGTTTTGTGTGATAGGCACAATACTTTTGCAAGGCTGTCAGCAGATGAGTTCCAGTTTTAGTGGCAGGCGCAGCACTCTGGAGACCTCCATCGCCATTTGGCATGGCAGGCGCAACACTTTAGACGTGTCATGTTGCATGTTTTGTGCGAATCGCATTGTCAGGGCTGCGTCAAGTGGCGACAAGGTGCAAATTGCGTGGCAGGCGTGGCATGTTGTGACATGTGATAACCCTCCACACTCCATACTCTACTCTCTACGCTCCACACTTTACACTGCACAATCTACACTCTACACTCCACGCACTACACTCCACACTCCACCCTCCACACTTTACACATTACACTTTAGACTTCGCACGTTACACTTGACACTTTACACTCTACACTCCACACTTTACACTGTACACTCCACACTCTACACTCCACACTTTACACTGTACACTCCACACTCTACACTCCACGCTCTACACTTGACACTTCACACCCCGCACTCTACACTGCACACTCCACACTTTACACCCTACACTTTACATTCCACAGTCTACACTCCGCACTCTACACTCCACACTTTACACTCCACAATCTACACTTTACATTTTACGCTCCACACACACTTTACACTTTAAACTCCACGCTCCAAGCTGTACACTCCACGCTCCACACTCTACACTCTACACTCTACACTTCACACGCCACACTCCACTCGTTACACTCCGCACTTTACACTCTGCACTTTACACTCTATACTTTGCACTCTATACTTTACACTCCACTCTCTACACTCCACACTCTACACTCCACAGTTTTGCACTCCACTCTCCACGCTTTGCACTCCACCCTATTCCGCATTCCAGGTTTACAGTGCACCGGTACGGTAACAGTGGAAACATGTACAGGACTGTTCAAATAATTTGTTTCACAAAAGTGTTCTACGTGACTGCAGTCGGGTTCGTGGGCAGCATCTTGTTTTCATACATAAACTCTAATTTTAGTAGAGTAAGGAAGGAGTTGGAGGAGTCGGAGGGGCCACACACTTCAGCAAGATCTATCAAGACTCCTTTTGATCATTTTGTGGGTTTGATCAGCTTGTTCTGAGGCGCAGATGGCAGAATTGATGGACTTCCAAGCTCGGCAAATATAGTCGGTCACCTCAGGTGAATTTGGTCCAAAATCTTCCAACATCTTCTGGTTCTTCTGGTTCTTTCGTCCACAGCACACCATTTTTTCGTGTTTGCAGGGCTGGTGCAGCAATATGCACTCCAGCAGTGATGCAGAGCCTTTAGCTGCCTCAGTCCTGGCCTCAAGGTTTCAACTGAACAAGTGTGGATTTCGGTACGGAGTCCACACAATTTCGCAGATGATCATGTTTGAAGAGTATTGAAGAGCATAGAAAAGATCGAAACGCATGAACTGAATATGATTCAATTACAATTGAACCATACCACTTGACTCCAGCACATAGAAGTACTTGGCAGCCACTTGTCAGCAAACAAAACAATGGTCAGCTCGGTTCCTGATCGTGATGTCGGGTTTGGTGGAAAGGATGTGCAACACCACATCGCATTTGTCTTGAAACCATTTGAAGCTGGCTGTGAACTCATTGAGTAGCTGCAATCCTTATGACATCTTCTGGTAGACCATGGTAGACCTGATGTTTTGCAGAGTCAAATTGAACATAACTGAACGATACAAATACGATATGGCAAATTTAAAGGTATTCCATGAAACGCGATGGCCCTCCTGCAGCGTAATTCAATATCTATCTCCATGCTCTTGACAACGTTTACACATCGTTTACACATCGTTTACATATCGTTTACATAATCCAGCATGGATTCCATGTCATGTGTTTGCTTGGCCGTAATCCTGGAAAGATTCATGGGTAGCGACGGTAGTGGGCAGAGCTCAGCGGAAGCTTGCGCAGCTTGCGCTCATCATGGGCGCTTCTTTATCTCAATCAGACGTACAAGGTCCAGTATGTCCTGTGCAGCAGGCACCTTGGCCCTATTCCTGGGCTTGGACATGTTGCTCCAGATGTTGGAGAGAACAGAGTGAGATAGAGTGTGACATTGGAAGCTGAGATTCAGGGCACAGGCTGAGCAGCATTTAGAATCATTTGAATTGCCGTGGCTGACTGAGTGACCACAATGGACCTATCCCATGCTTTGTCGCCTTTGAGATTTCGACAAATGCACTGCAGAGGAACAAGAATCACCATCCTCTTCGCCTTCCAAGCCTCGCCGTCTTGAGAAATTGCAACTTGACCCTTTGACAGTGGCTATGCTTTGAACCTGTGCATTCTGGACTTGGGTGACTAGTAAGGAGCATTTGCTTGTCACAGCTTTGGATGAAGATGGTCTTCATTCCTTTCGTGAGTGCTGAGGGCCGTGAAGGGAGTTGAATTGCAAATGCATTTGGCGTAGCACAACTACAGGCTTCAAGATGCTTATGATATTTACGATATATGAAGCTACTTGGCACTTCTACTTCACTTTTGAGCTGTGGCAAGGTGCAAGATGAAATCCTTTGGCTCTTTTGGCACCTTGGAGCGTCTAGGCGCCGGTGCACGTTGATGAAATCAAGATTTCTGTTTTGAGGGCTTTGATTCATTTTGAATCTTGTGGTCACCAGATTCTTACTGGACCTCCGCATTCAAGATGTTTCCCATGATCATGTGCAGAGAATCACAAGTGTTCATTTTCGCAATGTGGTTGTCTAAAGCAGTGCAGGAGCTTGGACATCTTGAACTGAGACGGAGCTAAAATGCATTTCCATACAGAATTCCACACGGCCAAGATCGGCAAAGCATAGAAATTTGGTCTCTTCGCTCTGGCAGAGAGGCCGCTCAACTGGGGTGGGACGGCTGTTCGCAGGTGCTTGCCAGTTGGAGAAATTCACATCACGGACGCTTCAGATCTCCAGCAAAGTGGATCCGCCTACACCTGTTTGTTTCTTGGCCGCAGATCAGGAGGTTGCAATGTGATCAATTTGAAGCGTGATTTCTGCCGCCATTTGTGGTTATACAACATTGCTTCTCAAATTGCTTAGCCATCACATTCTGGAGTTACAGTACCATGGCAAGCATCATCTCATGCCAAGATATACCAAGGCCGTGCTTCAGACGATGCCCCGGTGGGGATGCCAAAATGGATTCGTGGTTGGAGTTAGTCCTGCTGAATGGTACGCAAAATGACACGTTTACTGGACCCGTTGCTTCCCCAGCCTACACATTGTCTGGGCTTCTGGGCTAACGAGCTTCCAGGCAGCTTCCAGTCTTGTGCACGGCCAACATCCAAGTTGAGGATTCAGAATATTCAGATCCAGGCCATCCAGGCATAGCACAGCGAGGTCCACCCCAATCCTATCCCCGCCAACACGTCCATGCGATGAGCCGAGGCGCTTCCCGTGAAGAGGGCCCCAAGTGTGCAGCGGCGGCAGGTGCCGGCAATACTGTTGCAGGGGTTGATGCCACATTTCCTGGAAATTGCATGTTTTATTTCTATGCTATTGGATTCTTTTCTTTATGGTAAAGGAACGTGCATTTGCTTTCTTCTTCATGGAGCAATTCCAGCGCTTGTATGGGGTTGGTGCGGTGAGTTTGCTCGGTGTTTTCCGCGTGTGTCTCATGGTAATAAAGACACAAGCATGCATTTCCAGGTCCAGATTTTCACGCTGCAAATCACAAGGCTGTTGCTGCAACGAGGCACCTATCAAGCACATTTCTACAGCGCCAAATTTGGGAATTTGGGCATGTGGCTCTCCAGTGTCTATTGGCGGCAGGTTTCGCATTAGGCTTGGTGTGGGTATTTTTGCCGTAGCCTCGTATGGTAATTTTATGAAATGCCAAGTCCATTTCACACTTTTCCACAGACGTTTTATGCATCATTGTGCCCTAGACAGCCCTAGACAGCAGAGCAGTGCTTGAGGACGACTACTGTAGGATTACACAAAGAAACACATGAGGTTCGTTGAGAGCAGCCCCACAGATGAATTTCGCAGCTTGTATCCCTGTGAGGTCAGAGCTGGATGAAGGTAGTCCCTCTGTCCGAACCCTAGATTTGAACGTTCGGACATCGGTTTGGCATAGGTCACTCTTTCAGAATGGCTTTGGTATCACATACCGTGGATATTTTTGATCCACAGCATGTAAGAAGTGCGCAGCTGGATTGAGGCGTATGACTGTTCCTGTGAGCTAGATATTTATTCTCTGGAGACGAATGCTGAGCGGTACGGTTTGATCTTCCTGTAGTTGAGGTCAGAGGATCTGTTTTCTGTACGTAAACGTAGAGCAGGAGCATGTGAAAGCCTTCTAATCCTCCTGCGAAATCACGTTTAAGGTGACACCATCGCTAGTGAAGGTGCCGACAGCCTCAAACTTGATGGGCTTTGACTGGGATGCCTTGGAAGCTTGGACCCAAACATGGAAGATTGCCAGGAAAATGCGGCAGGGACATCCCCCTTGCCATTTCCACTACTAAAAGGGTGAACACGTGCTTGATACCATCCCCTGTTTCGTGGAGAATTCATGCAAAAAAGTGGAGTCGTGCACTGATTTTTGTAGTAAGAGGGCGTGCGCTGCATCTTGTAGCGGCGTTTCATTTAGCGCTTGAAAATCAGAAATGCATTTTGTAGTGATTTATTTTGGGATGCGTTGGGTTATACAAGAAACCCTATAGCCCTCTTTTGCCAGTCATGCTCGGTCACATTAACAAGTAGCTTGGACCCTCAGACCATTTTTGGCTCTTGACCCACGATCATGTCATGGTAAGATGAGCCCCCAAAAAATCAAACAAAATCAATGTAGAGACTTTAAGAAGGCAAAATGGGACAGATTTGGTTTCAAAACCGATCAATTGAATTTGAAGTTGTGCGCTTAGATCGTTTTTGTTGGCCCGTAGCTCTGACGATTGCAGTTCAAAATCTCTGCGCCGTGCTTTTGTCACACCTATTCTAGCGATTACATGCGATTATTAATTATAATTCTAAATGTATCCCTTTCTACTAGGTTCCTGCTCTTTTTGTCCAATAGTCAAGTTTCACCCAAGTTAAAAGAATCCATGTTCAGAGTTTTCTTTCACCACAAAGTACAGATTCGATGCGTGATGTCCTAGTTTCTGGATGGCTTTTGTCATGCACTGCATTTTGTAGTGACACACGCGTGCACAACCTTTTGTAGAACCTACTGCGTCCCCCTCCAGATAAGCCCCAAAAAGTGCGAAAAACATGCTTTTTATGTAGAGACTTTAAGAAGGCAAAATGGGACAGATTTGGTTTCAAAACCGATCAATTGAATTTGAAGTTGTGCGCTTAGATCTTTTTTTGGTTGCCCCATAGCTCTGAGCATCGTGGTAGAAAACCTCTTGAAAGGTCAATTCTTGGAATCCGATGGAAATCCCAAGGTTGTATTTACTTGTGCTCGGCAAATGCTATGACCTGGGCCCCGGAAAGTGAACCAAAGATTTAGAGTGAACTTCCAGAAACCATTTAGTAGGGAATCATGATTTTTCACTGCAACCCGTTTTTCACTACAAAATGGTTACGCAAATGCCTTTTGTAGTGACCCACATTGGCTTTTAATCCACCATCAAAACCCCAAAAGCATTTTGTAGCAAGGGGGGTTGGTTCAGATTCAAGCAGCATTTTGTAGTATAAGGCTGTGTTTGTAAACGGTTTAGTGGGCACAACTACCCTGCAGAATGCACACAGGGATGTAGGTACGAAATCATCGAAATCTAGGGTGAAAGCAGATGCTTTTCACATCTTTTCACCACCCGTGCTTTGGATCACATTCCTGAACCATCCGGAACCCTTACTTTTCTCATCGCCAACGGTTGATTCAGTCGAGTCAGACTGAGATAGTCTAATCATGTCTAATCGAATTCTTGTAATTATATACAGTAGTTATTGCACTGTAGTAAATGCAGCTAATAAAACTTATTATTATTATTGGTATATTATTGAGGTAATATTTGATTGTTGTTGATATGCTTATAAACTTATTATTGCGGGAGGCCTATCGAAAAAATAGTGCAGTAAACAAAAGTAAGAGTCATGAAGAAAAGGAAACGGAGGAAGGAATTGGAAGATTGGAAGGAAAGAAGGAAAGGAGAGCCAGGACGACGTGCTACCCCCAATACATCCACGGGCACACTTTGGATGAGGTTGTCGCAGATTCGAGCTTCAAAAAGAAAAATACCATGTTCACTCACTTCACAACGGGTTTGGCTTGGCGCGTGCCAAGGACGCTGATGACCCAATCGAAGATTTTCAGCCTATGTCCAGACTGCATCTTGTTCTGCATAAGTTGATGCGGTGTGAAATGTTGAAGCTTGATTTCGAAGGAATTGCGTGTCATGCTTGGTCAAATCGAGATACAAGTGTTTTTCCGACTCTTCAGAATTTGAGTCTGGGGAGTAGTTTATTTGTGTGCGGCACCGTGAAGAAAAGACGCAGTCTTCCATTTCAGACCGTGCTGCATATATCCTTTTTGGTTGTGCAGGCCTGTCTTGGATTTTCCTTGTTCAAATTCTCTGCGCTACCAGTCTGTTTGAAACATATGAAGTTTATTCATTTTCCATCCTGGCTGTCGTGTTGCACTTGTACCACTCTATTTCTTGAATCTCGGATACCTCACAGACTCATTTTGTTTTGATGTTGCTTGAGGTCCAGTAGCAGCCTGCCAGTGGTACTTGAAGATGGCCCCGAGCTAAAGGCAATGTTTTGACCAACGGAGCTGCTTAACAATTTTGCATGTGCGGCCCACTGGAACTCTTCTTTGGATCTCATTGCTTATTGTTTTCCGAGAAGTCTAGTGCAATGTTAGCATGACAAAAGACAAAAGAAACACTAACACGATTAATACTGGATTTGCAAGGAATGGAAGGCATGTGATCATAAAGGATCCTAAGGTTCGGTCAGTCATGGTATCCGTTTGGTCTGTATTCCATGACGAGATCACCAACTTTTGATGTGCAAAGCTGACCGCGCTTCAAATTGCAGGTGTCACTTCCTTTGGTGCCGTGCTCAAAGCCCCTTGAGCCAGTGAGCGCTCCAAGCTCACCATCTTGGCGAGGTCATCTTTGGCACCATATGTTTCTGAAGTCCTCCTTCGTTGTGTTTTTGAAACATTTTTGAAACAACGAAGTCACTGTTTTCATTTTAAGATTCTGTAGGGATTCTGACAATTTGTTTTGCTGATCACTATGACATTCGCACAGTGTCGCTTCGCTTCGAACCGAACAGACAGAGATCTGCAGAGTCTACTTTAGAATTGTTTTGAAAATCATTCTGGTATGCTCAGGTTATCTTAGGTTAGTGTAACTTGATGATACTTATAGGATCTTATAGGTATACTTATAGGACTTTATAGTTGAGCTGAAACTTTGATGTAATCTTGAAGTTTTCTGTGGTCCGCTTGACGTGGTTTCCCCGACGAGGTATGCGTATTGCAATCGTGGTCAACGGATCTCGTGGAGATGTGCAGCCTATGGTGGCATTGGCGCAGAAACTTCAGGAACACGGCCATGAGGCATGGCCATGGCCCCCATGGCCCCCATGGGCCCCATGGGCCCCATGGCCTCCATGGGCCCCATGGGCCCCATGGGCCCATGGTTCAAACTGGGAGCATGGGAATGCCATGGGAATGTGATGGGAATGCCATGGGAAGCCCAATGTGAATGTCTTTGGTTGATTGATGATGTGATTATTTGATGTGTGATTTACTGTGATTTCCTGAACATTGGCTTTATCTATCTTTATCTGAGACATGTTTGGGGATCCTCCCGCCCTTTCCGACGTCAAAGGCCGCGGGCAGCGCGCTACGGCAGTTTCATCACTTTTTGGTTGTTTGTTGTATGCATTTCTATATCTATTTGGCCGACGTCCGCGTGTGGCAAGTCCCATGAGCTCAGAAATATAGATAAGTTGCCACGGGTATACACCATAGTACTGGCATACTCCACTGCTGACAGCAGCTGACAGGTGATCATTTTCACCAACGCCGACTCGGTAAGCACTTGCAATGCTTGTGGCATCGACGCAGTCTCAGTCTTTGCGGAACTTTGGCTGGCAATAGACAGCAGAATTATCCAGGACTTCACACGCTGAGACCTAGTGCTCCCATATTAATGTTCTGTATTGCAGGATGCAGCAGGATGCAGCAGGAAATATGAAATCTTTTGGCCAGTTGGTGCCAGTTGCTTTACGAGGGCCTAGAAAGATAGTAGGCCTTCAGTGAAAAAATCGGTGGAAGGAGCATGCGTACGGCAAACACAAACACGCATATCATATCAGCACTTAATCTAGTGCGTGTGACTTTCCATGGCGGTTTTTGACATCTAAGTGATGCTTCATTCAGCGATGTCCTTGTCTTGTTGTCATTGTTCCGTTTGAGGATTGCTGTGCTGTGATCCAAGAAAGTGGAGGCATGTGACTTGGCACCCCCTTTGAGCACGACCATACAGATTCGCAGGTCAAGCCAGCCATATGAAGGGGTCAGAACAAGCTTGCAGCAGCTAGCAGCCAATGCCGTGCTTCGCATTGCATGGACACAGGAAAATTGGTTCACAAATTTTGACATCCCAGAAAAATTGACTTGATGGATCTTGACTCTTGACCTAGAAAGCAAAATTTGCAGCTCTTGTCCTTTCTCGGAACATGAGCAACTGCGAAATAAAAAGGTCTATGGACCTCAGAGCTTTGCGCACCAAGGAGTGGAGATTTCGTTTCGGGGGTGTCCCGAGCGAATTCCACGGCGTCAAAGTGGCTACGTTCCAATCCTGGCGCTTGCGCACCAGTAGCCGAATGCTTGCAGGTTGGGCACAAGTGGGCATCCAATCTCTGACAATTCTTGCCAAGCTGCTGTTTGACGAAGCTGTTGAAAGATAGCATATTTGATGCTGTGCGAATGCGTGCTTCCATGTTCCTTCAATTTCTCTCAATTCACGAATACACTTCGTGAAACGCCTGTTGCCAGGGGTTCCAACCACAGCTTGTGGTTTGTGGCACATTGGCAGTGGGGACTTGCATCCGGTATGAGGCTCAGGCATCAGTGCCTGCTGTTTATGCCTCTCGGCGCGAGCTTTCAGACTCTCAAGCCTACAAGTTGCACATGCAATTCCAAAGTGAAATGCCACATTTCCATAGAGCTATCGATTTCCCATTATGATTTTCCGCCTTGTTCTCTTTGTTGGTGCGATGAGATTCAAGAGGGAGAAGAGTGCTTGACACTGTAAAGCATGAATTGCTCCGAATGCTCGTAGCCGCAAGCTGTGCTGCTTCACAATTTGAACTGTTTATTTTAACTCTAAGTCTTCTGAGTCATCCATGACTGCGCGCTGCCTTCTCAAACTTAGGTTTTCCTTTGCAGAGAGCTGCTAGAGTTCTTCAGTGATGTCCTGCAGCTTATCTGCATTCGTTTCATTGGGCGCACATCTGCACGTTCTAGAATGTTGAGATATGTTGAGCACTGGTGCATGAAGTGAACATGGCATGGCTGTTGGGTATCAACATTGCTGAGCCTACTTTTGGTGTTGACTGTGATAGGATCGGTATGATCGGTAACTCTATGGTAATCACGACGCAAAGGAGTCAAAAGAAAACAATGCACCCAGCTGTACCAGATTGAGGTGTTGTGGCTTTTGTTCACTTTGTTGACATTTAAGGTGCTTGCAGCCGGAAAGGCCATGTTTCCTTGCCACAAACCCACTGCTTGACAGCGGACCGTTGCAAGCCAACATCAGGCAGCTGGGGGCGCTAGCAAGGGACCATAATGTGTGGGACTTGTGTGTGTGTGTGCGCCTGTGCTTTTGTAGAATTAGATAAAGTTATATAGTTAGTACGTCCTGCTATATGATTTGGACTCACGTACTTTGTGCAGCCAAGTCTTTGAAATTCAAGTGCGTTCCTTTCACATCCGTTCACACTGAATAGATTACACTGTTCTACTGTTATACTGTGTAGCGTATACTTGTTCACTGGAAGCTTGCTCGATTCTAGTTGGATTCATGAATGACACGCGCCTGCTGCTGTTCAGCATTGTCCTTTCTTTATCTTTCTTTTATGTTCGACGTTTTGCCGACACTTTGCCATTGAGTTGCAAAACTGGACCCAATCATTCATAATCATTCTAGTCTTGTGAAACGAAACACTTTGAGTTTGGGAGTGTCCGAATGCGAAAGGCAAACAGGGACATGGGACCTTCCTGACTACACAGAGGTCCCTAGCAAGTTGGAGGACCCACGCTAAGCTGACAGCTTCGGAGACGCCTCTTAAGCAAGTCGTTTCACTCGTTTCCTTCTTTCATCTTCTTTCCATTCGAGGAGATCCTCCAAATGCAATTCCAGTTGTATGGATTTCATTGGATTTGTGGACGAAAGAGATCACATGAGATTCAAGACATTAGATATTTCGCTGATGTCATTTGTTTTTTTTCAGGACTTCATCACGCAGAAAGGCAATGGCGGTCTTGCGATGGGCTGGGGGTCGATGATTGCTTTTGGGCTGCCACCTGAGAAGATGCTGGCTTTGGTGACTCGGCTTATCCTTTTCCAATGAAGACATGAGTGATTCCCCCCAAGCTCTAAACCTTATTCACTTGATATCCGATTAATCCCACTTGGCTTCTTCCCACATTCACTCTGAGATCAATTTGTGTTCCTCGGTTCCCAGCTGAGCAGCCTGAAATCCGATGAGATTTACTGTATGCGAGTGTTTCCATTTCTGCTGGTTCTATTTTACTTCTTGCGCAAGTTGGATTTGACGTTTTGACAGTCTTGACCGCTTAAAGTTGTCAAAGAAGCAGCTCAGCAGCGAGGCTCTTCGTGTTTTGAAATCCTTGCAGATTCACGGTGTCATTCTGGGTGGTTGGGCAAAGCTCGATGAGCTCGCAGAGCAGCTGGCCAACGGCATCCTGGCTGACAATTTACGGCAGATTTAGATGGAGCATTGAAAAAATATTGGAAAAACATGAGAAACCGATATGCAGCTGGCGCGATTGCAAAGTACGGAATGCTCTGCCGGAATGGTACTGTATTTGCCCAGGGTAAAAGGTACAAGAAGGTGGTGAAAGCTGAAACGTCAGGAGAATTGCAGAGCATCGGAGATGATTGGCAGGAACTTGTTACTCGGCTGCAATCAGAATTGCACACCAACTTGTCCAGATATTCCCATATATTCCCAAGTGAAGTGCTTGTGAAAGCGCGAGCATGCATGAGAATGCCATCTGTTCGTTGTTCGTTCTTAAGCTTCAGCCGCTTCCTTTTGCAACGAGACACACGGAAGTCTTGATCCCCCCAGCAAAACTGGTCTTAGCAGTGATGTGAGGCCAAGTTTGCAGCTGAAAATGTTTGCTTTGTCGCGGAGGCCCTTTTGCGCTGTGTCCTCATTCTTAATTCACACAGCAAAACTGCGCATATTCAAGTCCTTGAGTTATCTTGAATCCAAGTGTAAGCCCAGGCGTAGTAAAGTTTGGCTGTCGTTTTTCGATTCGTGTCGCTGATGTTTCCTCTCCTCGCTGTGGAGGCCCCACACGCTTGGCTTTTCCCAAGATGCTCTTGCGTGGTGCACCATGGTGGCCTTGGTACAACCCAAGCCGCCCTTCGTGCTGGTGTGCCCGGAGCATCTTGCCAAATTCAAGCCATTCAAGACTCTTAGAGATTTCTGCTCAAGTGGTTTCCTTCATTTTCCTTCCCAAATTTATGCTGGAATGACCTCATGTAGCATGTTACGATTTTGATGTTGAATTCTGACGAACGCGGACCTCAGACCTGGCAGCTCAAGTCAATATTAGCTAGCAAGAGAGCCCCTGCACCAACAATCTCTCCATGTCCCAGCGAAGTCAAATTAATCCCTTCCCCCTATTACTAAACGTCCCCCAAATACTAAAAACTAGGGTCCATCTCTAATTTCGGAAAATTTCAGATTGGCCAATTTGACTTTTAATTGATCCACTTAAGAAAACAATTTAAACATAAAGCCACCATTCGTGGGTTTTGCCCCCTAATAATAAAAACTAGTTCACCCCGGGGTGTTTATTATTAGGGTCCGTCCGGTTTTTTTAGTTTTTTATATTACGGCTTTTAATTTCTTATTAGGACCTTATATAAGGAAATTAATTTAATTGATTTTGAGATCGAAAAAAATAGTTTTTATTATTAAGGGTTTAATTTTATTAATAGTGTCCGCTTCGAAATCCAATTTTTGGCAATATGTTAATGGCATTATATAAGGAAATTTAATTGATTTTGAGATCGGAAAAAATAGTTTTTATTATTAAGGGTTTCATTTTATTAATAGTGTCCGCTTCGAAATCCAATCTTTGGCAATATTATAATGGCGTTATATAAGGAGATTTAATTGATTTTGAGATTGGAAAAAATCGTTTTTAATTATTATTTTTTTTTTTTTGATTAATAGGGTTCCCTATTAATAAATACCACCCTAATACTAAAAACTACCTGAGATGTTTATTATTTGGGGGGATTAGTATTAGGAGGAAGGGATTAGACTACGCGGCTAGACTTTCGGTGTCACAGATTGCATCCACATGGAATCCACATGGAATCTGCGTGATGCTTCCGATTTGTCGCTGAGGTGATCACTCCTATCTTCGGAGACCAGTTTTTCAACGCAGCTTGGAGCCAGGGTTTGGGAGGACGCCTGAGTAAAGGATCAGAAATGCCTCACAAAGGATCATAAAGGAACCTTTCAGTTTTTTTCGTGGTTGAAACAGCATGTTGCAATTTGTAGTTAGACATGCAGAAGCTCGTGGTTAGAATGTCGTGAGTTCGGGGATGAGAATCTTAGAATTCTTCCGGGTTTGGCGCGTGTCTCATAGCATAGACACTTCAGTTTTTACATTTTTAGCCACAATTCTTCGCATCCAGCGCTTCCTTTCAGCCATTTGCAGCATGATTTGCGCGTTTGGCAGGCATCCCATGTGAATCGCCTGGGAGTTGGTGTTGGCTTGGAGCAGCCATTGCCGGAGCTTACTGCCACTTGCATCAGGACAGGGTGTGACACTGGATCCAGAATGATCCAGAAACTCCAGCTTTGGAGTAACGGATTATGATTTTGACGTACGTATATTATATGTATATATATATATACGTATATTTATATTTATTCTATTATAATCTATTATAATCTATTATAATCTATTATATATATATTATACATTAATATATATATAGGTAACGTACAGCTTGTTCCAGTTGAGGCTAAATTGTCCCAGCGATGGGCTCTACAAATCCAAAACGTGGTCCGCCACGTCAAGAACTGCACAGCATGTGTGTATGTATATATATTATATACATAATTAATGCAATATGCACATAAAGCTTTTTTTGAAGCACAACTGTGGTCTGTGGCCAGTGCGCGGACCTGGAAAGGAACCTCGAAACGGGAAACAAGACGAAAAAATTGGATACAGGTGGAAATTGATCAGCCAAGTGAGGTGGAGAACATCACAGCAGCGGTTCGTTCTGCTTGGGATATGGCCAAGGCAGGTGCTGAGTTTGATGGCCATTGTATTAATCGCCTGAAGTATTTGGCCATATTGGCCATGGCGTCTGATCTTTGCATCTTCATTTTCATTGGTTTAGCTGATGCATGAAACACACAGGATCTTTCTGGCATTTATGTGCCGGAGTTTGTGTCCAAGAGGAAAAGTAGGCTAAGTAGGCTTTGACCTGGCGCTCCATGCCGAGTTGATATTTGTGTTATTGGTTTTTTTTGTTGACATAGAGACATAGAGTTTCAGATTGAAGCTTCACAATGCTTCACATTCGCTGTCCAAGCCATGTGTCTTTGTACTCCGCAGACAGCAGCGGAGTTCGGAGCCACACAGATCAGCTCTGGTCTTGAAGAAGCGACGAATGCACCTAGCCGCAGAGATCTTCCGCCAAAACGTCGCAAATCAGTTCTTTCAAGCGACTGGCAAATACTTCACGCTATTGCTGAGACCTGCTGCTGCTACTCATGCAAAGTTTCGTAAAGTTTCTATGATACGTGCCACCACAAGACCTAGAAAGGTACGTAGTTTTGACACTTGCTCCGAGGATAGTTTAGTTTCAATTCTGACAGAATTGAACAGAACAGCATAACACCGCACCTGTTGATCCAAGGCCATCCAAGAGTTCATGCTTCTCCACTTGAGGAGTGGACTCTGGGATATGCGACTGCGCGAGCTCGAAGCCTTCGACTCAAAGCTGTGAGCCGCTTGCATGGCTGTACATATGTGTACAGTGCCCATGGCAGAACGATGCTTGGCGTATCATTCTCAGATATGCTCAGTAGTTTCTTATAAGACTTTATAAGCATGCAGAGACACTAGACATCACTAGACATCATAAGACATGGGGGGTAAAGAATCATGTTATGACCACAACATGATGACGAAATCACTAATATGGTTGGGGTGCAAAGCCTTCGCTTTGATCCAGAAGGCTCATGTATGCCGGTACTGTACTTGCAGTGCGAACATGTGCAGATGCCTTGTAGGTTCACTCCAACTGGGTCGTCCCTGGAGGATCAAACCGTTGGTGCCCAACTGGGTCACATGGTTTAGAGCCGACTCCCAGACGGGTGCTGTCACAAGCAGCCACGCACTACGGATCTCTATGGTGCATTTGAAGAGCTAAGAGAGCTTTGATTGCGAGCGTGTGTTTTAAAGGTCCTAACTCTCCCAAGACGGGAGAGTTTGACAACCCACGCAGATGCTTGACGAAGCAGCATTGGTGACCAAAGTACCAGCCTTGTGTGTTTCAAAAGTCAACAAATCAGATTCTTTGACAGCAACTTGAAGAACTTTGAAAACGTTGAAACTTTGCAAGTTGGACCTGTCGGATCATTGATGCACCATCTCGAGCTCAGGTGATGGTTTGGGCTGAACGGTTGTATGGGATAAGTGGTGACACGATGCTGGGCACCTAAACATCGGAGGCAATGGCGGCAATGGCGGCAGGCAATGGCGGCAATCACAGAGTCTGTGCTGTTGATGCATTCCCTGTGTCACAGCACCGCTTCAAGTCATATCCATCAACCCCTGAGGCCATCTTCGTGCAGCCAAATGGGCTGCGGTATTCGTGGAGCAGCGGGCAGGCTTGGACCGCGGAAGAAAGAAACAGACGTCATGCATGGTGATGCCGTGGTGATGCCAAGCTGATGCCGTGGTGATGTTACATGATATGTGTGATGCTGCAATCTCATTCAGTGCAATATTACAACAAAGCACAGATGGATTGGCTTTGATTGCCCTTTTGTCATTTAGCTGCAAGATGATTCCCCGTGGCTTCTCGCGATTGTTCTTCGAGATTTCTTGACAACCTGTATTATAATTGTAACAGCTCTTTCGCCACAGACAGAAAACACTGCCATGCCAAAACGCATAACAAGGTGAACTGCACACATATTGAAATTATTCATTGGACAGATCCCCAGATCAGGGTGATACAGGTCCAAAGGGCACAGGCTTGGTACCGAAGATTTGCCATCCCCTGTTTGCTATGACACGCCATCCCCTGACAGAACAATCACAGTACTGTGCAAAGCATGTTCTGGTTGCGTGCGCATTTTTCATTGCGCTCTACTGGACACTGGGATTGTACGAAATTGTTGCAGGCAGTAAGGCAGTAAGGCAGTAAGTCAGAAAGGTGCCTTTATTTTGCCGTAAACTTGGGCCTGTTGTTTCCATGTCAGTTTTCAGGTAGGCCCGAAAGGAAAATTCACAACAACCTCGGACCCCCTTCACTGAATTAAAAAGCAAGATGGTAATGCGGTAAGAGACAAATCTTCCTGGCAAGTCACAATCTCCACACCACTCAGGTGTTCTTGCCATGCAGATTGCAACGGAGAATCTCAATGCTGCAATGATTTCAGCACCTTGCCTGCACTGCGGAGGATTGTCGAGTTGCTTAGAGTACCGTTTTGTGAGACAGGCTGCAAGATGTACAGTGGCACTGAAACAGATAAACGATTACAAAATTAAGGCATCTTATTCTCTCACAAATATGTGTTATACACTGTACACCATAATATGTGCGAGGTTCAAAATGAAATGACAATCCATTTTGTGCAAATGTGTTCTAAGGCAGAATATGCCCAACATAGATGAATTTTAAAGCAGAACAATAAAATAAAATCTAAGTTCTTGAAACATAAGCCAAGAATTTTGTGTGTCTGTGCGACTGTATATATATATATGATAATACATTTTAGCATGATCCTGGTTGCAATTTCTCTACAGAATCAGAGCCCAAAAAAACAATCGATTCTGGAGAGCAAACCTTCACCCCTACTTTTCTCCAGAATTAACATCTATTAGCTGGCAAATATTAGAACAATTCCAAAATTATATAAATTACCCAATATTTTTTCTTTTATTATTTATTAAATTACAAAATAATTTTATTTAAAAAAAATATAATTATATATAGAATTTTAATTCGATTTTTTATAATGTTTTAATAACATATATAATTTTTTTTATATAATAATATTTCGAAATAAGATATTTTTTATATTTTTTTAAATATTATTTTGGAATTGAAAAAAATATATATATAAAATAAATTAAATTTAAATTTAAAAATAATAAATATTTAAAATATATATAATATATATATATATATTTATCGAATATTTAATTTATAATTAATTAATTAATATTTAATTAATTTAAATTATAATATAATATTAAACAATTTATAATTATTTAAAATATATTATTTTAGATTTAAATAAATATATTTAACATATAATTTAATAAATATATATATATTTTCTTTTAAATAAAATTATTAATAATATAAATAATATATTTAAATTAATAAAAATTAAAATAAATTAAAATAATAAATATATTTTTTAATAAATATTATTATTTTAAATTATTTTTTCTTATAATATTTATATATATATAAAATAAAAATATTTGATTAATTCTTTATTTTTGAATAATTATTTATAATACTATATTTAATAATTGGAAAATATACAAAATATTATTTGATATTAATACGGAATAGATAAATTAATAAATTATTTGTTAATAATAATATATTTTAGTTCTTTATGTTAAAATTAGGGATAATTATTTAAGATTTGACTAAGAATATTTGACTCTAGATATCTATATAAAAAGTATGTTAGCCTTCGCAATTATTGGGTTAGATTCGTATTGGTTTGTGGTATTTCCTTATTGGTTATTAACTTACGGTAATTCGAATGTTGGACAATTCTTTTATTTACAGAGTAGATTTTTTATTTGGAGTACGGTTATTAATTTTACGAATTTATTGTAGTAGATTTTGAACCTATTGCTCGCGCGGAGCGCGAATCGACGGTGGTTTCTATATTAGTTCCTACGGTGCCAAAATTAAGAAGGACTATCCCTGTATCTAGAAGGAATAGGTTAGCTCCTAAGTCGCCTCCAGTTGCCCCGAAATCTTCTAGTATACCCGAGCCAGAGGGACCTCCTCCTGTTTCAAGGGTTTCACAAGATACCAATTAATTTGTTGTGCCTGTGCCAAAGGCGCCACCTGTTGCTGGAGTGCCGGTACCAAGGTCATCCGGTGTGTTAAGGATTCCAAAGGCTACATCGACTCCTGTTTCTGTATTTCCAAGTGCGTACGGAATAAGGGTGACACCAAGATCACGTAGCAGGTCACCCGTTGAAAGATGTCCTGGAATTACAAAGAAAGCAATAGCGAAGAGACCGCCTTTGAAGAGATTAAAGCTACAGAAGAGGAACCTGGGGTAGGGGAACCTCTAGCTGTATCATCTTCGAGTATGGTTGTTCCTTCGGAATCTCATCGTGGTATCATCGATAAGATAGCATTGTTGGTTACAAAGGGTGCTGAAGGATACGAAACTCGAATCTTGCGGGAACAGGACCATAGCAAATTCTATTTCCTGAAGCCCGGTGACGTGCATCGACCCTACTACGAGCAGAAGCTGGCTGAGTGCCGTGCTCGCATTGCTCTGGCGTCGGGCACACCAAAGGCATCTGCTCCTGAGGAGCCGGAACGCCCTCTTGTGGCGTTAGACTACCGCCATACCATCGAATTTAATCAGACGGTAAGTGAAGTAATAATGCGACATTTACAGGATATATAGCATTGGGAATACAATCTGACAATTTGTAATTTCTCCTCAAACAATACGACCCAGGAGAAGACCCTCAGGACCTGCCGTGAAATCGAACAGAAACTTCTCAGGCCGTTTGTCGGCATCCACATCACGAGGACGAAATTATTATCAGACCGTGAACAAGGACCATTAATAACTGGTGACACAGGAGCAAAAGCAATTGTTTTGAAAAAGACAGGAGCTTGCGTGTTCTGCGACGACCAGCAGGAGATATTAGAGGAGTATTTATCCCTGCAATCTGGACGGGCCCGTTACAACCGTGTTAAGTGTATTAAGGCACGGTTTGGTGCCCAACAATCTTTGGATCCGCTAGTTCGATTTTTGGTTGACCGCGAAATAGGAAATTTTCCACTTCCATCGACATTGAAAAGTTTGCAATAGTGTTGCAAAGGGGGCCATATCGAAAGTGTTTCAGTAGTCATCATAGAATTCATTTTCTTTAGATCTGATATTTTGTCAAAAGATTTCACCTGTCCTACCGGCATTTTGCTGCAATTTCACTGGATTGGCATTTTACCACAAGCTCACTGGTTTCATTTTGCGCCTTGCATTGACTTTAACATCCATTATTTTTGCATGATCTTGGAAATTCGCACTTAGTGTGTCCAGTACAGTTCTTTTAGATCGCGTATTGTGGCTTGGGTGGATTGTCGCGTGTATCGCGTACTACTGGGTTCCTGTATTTGAAGCATAGGGGTTCTTGCATTACAAGTTCTTCGTGGTATAAAAGATGAAGCGTGACGTGCCAACCACTCCATTCAAGATTGATGGGCCGAACTCAACTTGGACCTCATCATCTGAATTACCTGAAAACCCAATAGGTCAATTAACTACCATGACTCGAGCTGGCGCTCAGGAGATGGCCACCATGACTACCCTGGCAAAGCAAGGGCAGAGGTCATCTTCATCCAATGCAGGCGGAGCAGCACAGCAGGGTGGGAGTGTATCTACGGGTTAACTGGTGGAAGAGTTCGTCAAAAAGGTGAACTATGTGTTGCATGGCCTTAAGAATGTGGTCAGACCATCTCCAAAGATGATGTTCGAGTGGTTATGGCATCAAATCAAGGGACTGGGTATTCTGAGATGTATTATCGACAAGGTCAGAGAGTCTAGCCAGAGATCAAAGAAAAGATCATTTGAATGAATTGGAACACAGATC